GCTTTTAGCTCTTGCATGAACCTATTGAAGAGGAATTTCTTTGCAGAAGTTATTGAAGATCATCTGGCAAACAGAAGGAAAGAAATCATAAACCAAATTGCAGTGTGACTAAGAGCTGGTTTTGTTTGGTCTACAGTACTTTAAATTATTAATGTTAAACTTGTGGTTTTTGTTTTTAAGAAATACAGAGAATAAATTGATGGAAACATTTACCAAAAACTTAGGGGAAAAAAAAAGCAAACAAAAATATATCTGCTATGTTGCCAAAAAACTCCTAAGGAGCTAAGAGCAGTAGCAGGGTGACCTGTTCAGATCCTTATTGTAGTACACGAGTTCAAGATGATGAAAGCCTGCACCACGGTGTCTTTAGGGGAGGTGGTGAGAAGTGCTTGAATGCTGGATATGTTTTGAAGGTAAAGTCAACAAGGTTTGCAGAAAAACTGGTTGTAGGAAGAAGGAAAGCGCATGACTCCAAGTTGTGAGTCCTGAGTAGTTGAAAGGATAAAATTATTTAATGAGATTGGAAACACTGGGAGATGAAGAATAGAACTCAATTTGAGATACAAGTTTGAGGTACCTATTAGACAGTCACATAAAGGGATTAAGAAGGCAGTTGGATTCCGTATCTGGACCTCAAGAGGAGAGATCAAGCCTAGAGATGTTAAGTGTGGGAGGCAGCAGTATAGGTGACATTTAAATCTGCAAGCTTTGGTGAGATCGCTATGTGAGTGAGTGTGGATCAAACAGAAGACAAGGCCGAGGACTGGGCACTGTGGTATTCCAATTTTAGAAAGTTAAGGAGGATAAAATGTAGGAAGTCTTGAGTGGAATTGAGAAGAGGTAGCTGGGGATGTAAGAGGAAAAACAAAGACAGTGTGGCATCTTGGAAATCAGTGGAACAATCAATTGTTTCAAATGCTGCTATTAGATCAAGCATGGTGGAGACCGAAAGTTGATCATTTGGGAGTTGCTGTGGACCACCTAGAGCCCGCGTCAGAACCTTTGTTTGCTCTGTGCTGGAAACAGTGACACGCTGTCACCTCTTCTTAACCTTCATATCGCTCACTCCCTTTCTCCAAAGATATGCTTGCTTGCTTTTTTCCCTCCCACTGGATAAAATACAAGTGATTAGGTTCATTTTTCAGAGTTTTTAATTGTGATCTTATTCTCCTTCTCTGAACTAATATATTAATTATGATTAGATCTAAGAGTTTCCTCAAGTTTTAGCCACTCATTTACATACACATTCTTTGACCACACCTATAGATAGTTGATCTCATCCTACACGTATGAAAATTATTGTTATATCTCCCGGTGTCACCTTACTCTCAAACTGTTGTACCAGTTTCTTTGGCACACCTAGAAATGGATGAATCAAAGGGGATTTCAAAATGCTCATCAGGTTGTCAGTTTCATCTACTTCCATTTCTCATTTCGAAGATTCTTATCATTATTAATGATCCTTAAGTAGCCTTCATTCTTTCACCTATCCATTTACTCAACAAACTTGTATCATTGGGAGGGATATTAGGAGTGTTGCTCTTCCAGTAATTTAAAGCAGATGTAGTAATAGAAAAACATAATAATAATATGAACATAATTACCTAGACTAAAAATTGGATGGCTTACTTCATAAATCATTTTTAGTTATATTCTAATCATTAAGGTAAAAATACCCATAGAGGCCCCCAAATCTTATCCATCTGCAAGTAAATGTGATTTATATGGTATCCTTATACTAAAAAAAGATACTGGTTTCGATGGGTAGAGGATAATATTAATTTGGTCATTTGGTAATAAAAAGTTACCTCTCATAAGTTTTTTTTTTTCTTTTTATCTACAAAAACTAACTTCAGAGAACAGTGATTTTTAAATCTAAAAACCAGTTGTTTCATCAGGCTGATATTTTCAGTTGGAATGGATTCCTTTGACAGCTTGAAGATATATTCACCGACATGTCTGTAATGGAAATCATTTCAGAAGACGCTAGACTGACACAGACTTCCTACAGCCTCGCAGCAAGACAGTGGTAGTCTTGAGGAATGATACTTTTCATCTTTTTGAAGATAGACACTCCCCAGTTGTCACCCCACAGGAAATCAGGAAGCATGCTAAACTCCAGTGGACTTGGAATTACACAGCCAAGTGCCAGTGGAAATAGCCTATCCAATATTATGATTTATTTTGAAAGGGAGTTAAAAAAAACGGAAAAGGGAAAAAATGGAAGTAAGCTGCACGCAACATGGCCAAACATCTGTCTGGTTTTCTGTCTCAGAAACAGCTTGGAACTAACTATTCTCACAAGATCTCTTGGCAGAGTAGCTTGATGAAAATACCAAAGCTGTGAGGAGAAGTGTTCTTTTGCTGAATCCTTTCTATGGCTATCATATGGTGTATTAACCTAAATGAGAACATGTGCACCTTTTTATAAAAATTCCTTTATGTTTAAATGGGGCACTTACTAATTCCATGTACAGCACAAGTGCAGTTCATTGTAGCATTAACACCAAATAAGCCTTAATAGTTTTTAGAAACATTAATCCTAGATGTGTTCTGATTTCCTTTTTTCAAATGGCTTTTTTAGAAGCAGTTAAGGAAGAGCTTGATAAGACAGAAATTTAAGTGTGAATTCAAGGACACTGGTGATTTTTTGGGTGCCAAAATTAATCTCTAAGGGGAACTCATTTTAGCTGCTGTATACATCTAGTTATTCATTTTTTTAATGTTTAATGGATACCGTCTTAAGTAGTAGAGACAACTTGATTTTAAACACATTTCTGGCTCACCTGTTAGATGCCAAAACTGTGAAATATACAAGATCTATGTCACTCTTCAAATGTTCGGTGTCAGAGGGAGGACATTCAGCATTTCGAGATTCATTATTTTAGAAGACCTTGAATTTTATCATCCTCAAATGTTGATTAAGTGAATTTATTTTTTATTAAGTATTCAAGATAGACTCAATTAGCTGGGACATTTCATATTTTTATCACGAGGCATTTTGAGTCTATCCTTTGTGACATCAGAATTAGTTTCTCATCTCAGTTTGCAGTGTTTATTCCTCTAGTGACTCAGATGTTTATTGGCAGTCAGTTTGTAAAATGCTCCCGGGGATTATCTAAATGCAGAATGTTAGGAATGGAAACACATATTGCCTCTCCTGTCAAAAAAAATGTAATTAACACACATGATATATCATCTTTCAAAAGTGGATGAAAATTCCAGTGGGTGACCTCAAGTCACAGTTCCCAGCGCACTTACAGACCGTCATGTTTCTGAATAGTTCCCAGCCCAGCACAGGACTCCTTTCTTCTTGTAATTCTATCTCTTTAGCCTCCTGTGTGTGCATACACACAGTATGTGCGTGTGTTCAGCCCAAAACCCACCACTCAATTTCAATTTCTTTACCAATTTTAATTTGATTTGGTTTATTGCCTAGGTAAGAATGCATTTACAAAGTACAAAAAATTGAATGTACTTTTTCCTATCTTTGAGAGTTTCCTCATTCTTTTGTGTGGTACACTTAATTCACTGTATAGATGCATAATTTATTTAACCCGTCTCTTATTGATGGATATTAGGTTCTTTCCAGTCTTTTGCTATTATTAAAAAATATTATAGAAATTCAGTGCCTTTTTACATATCATTAATTACATGTTAATTGTATACACACACACACACATATATACATATTAATAAAACATCTGTGTAGTGTAATTTCCCAGAAGTGGAATTTCTAAGTAAAAAATTCTGTGCATTTGTAATTTTGACAGTTATTGCTAAATTCACCTTTATAAGGATTTATGCCATTTTATATTCAACCTTTAAATGTGTAACGATTGCTGTACCCCCTTTAGTCTTGTCATCAGGGAGTATTAATAATATTTTAGGATTCGAAAACTTGAAAAAATGGTGAAAGCTTTTAGAGCGGATTTAATTAGCAGTTCTGTTATAAATGAGGTTCACTATCTTATCAGAAGTTTAATAGCCATTTACATTTCTGTTTCTTTAAGTAGTTATCTTATATCTTTTGTCTATTTTTGTGTTATGTCATTGGTATTTTTTCTTGTTGGTTTATAGAAGTTCTTTAGGCATTAGAAAAATAGTTTCTTTATCTGTGATAGAAGTACTTCTTATTTTATATAATGGTTTACCTCCCCCCAACTCCCATTAGAATTCTCTGCTCTCATGAAATCCCTGTGAGAGCATGTGGGCCTCAATGCACCTTTGAAGGGTAATCATTTTTCTGATTTTTCATGGGAAATGGTATGGTTAGATTTGATTTCTTCTGGCGTTTTGCAAAATTATTTTCCTAAAAAATATTCCATTCTACTCAAGTTTTAATATATTGTCAAAGAGCATATTTTTCATAGAATGTGTTATAGCCTTGGTGAATTTTGCCTTCTTAAGCTATCAATTACTAAAAAAGAAATAACAAAAGCCACCTTATTGAAATGTCTGTGATTGGAGATTTGTGTAATTTTTTCTGGTAATGCATCGATTTTTACTCTCTTTATATATTTTAAGACAATATAATTAGATACTTTCAAGCTCAGAATAAAAAGAAATTTGAGTTCCTGATGGTTTCTTGTTTTTGTCTGGTATTTTGTGTTCTGGTTTCTCACCAGAAAATATATGGGAATATATGCCAGAATCTTAAATAATTTTTGGCTGCAATAATTTTCAGAAAAAGAATGACTGATTTAAGAATTTTTGGAAATCCTAGAAAGTTCAAGTAGATGCACTGACTTGGAACATAGAAATATAAGTAATTGCAGTATAGAGAAAACACCTGACATATACACAAATAAATTGCAGGTACATGTACTAAAAGATTCATAATATTCCTCAATTACTTCTCTGCATTCTAGTAAATATGAACCTGTATCTGCCTAACTGAGAGAAGGGGAGCTTAACTATTTGTCTAAGAAAAGTTAAATGAAACCAGATATGTAAGTCTTGGTAACCTTAATTGTTAAATTGTTTCCCAAATTGTGTAGATTCATATCTCTTTGATCAATGGGAGACCGAGTGCTGACGATCCTTCTCCTGAACTCCTGGAATTTACCTCCGCTCGCTATATTCGCCTGAGGTTTCAGAGGATCCGCACCTTGAATGCCGATTTGATGATGTTCGCTCACAAAGACCCGAGAGAAATTGACCCCATCGTCACACGAAGAGTAAGTTATGATGAATCATGTTGGAATCTGTCAATAATATTGGGCCTGTTGTTTTCATTGTCTGTTAAACAGTTTTATTTTTAGCGATTGTATTCATTTACGGTTGTTCAGGGTCTTCATGCTGCGAGGGTTTTTGTCTAGTTGGGCGAGCAGGGGCCCCTCCAGCGGTGGGGTGCAGGCTTCTCACCGCGGTGGCGCCTCTTGTTCCGGAGCCCGCGCCCTGGTGCCCGCAGACCTCAGTTGCGGCTCCCGGCTCTAGAGCCCCGGCCCGTGGTGTGATGCATGGGTTCCGCTGCTCTGCCACGTGGGGTCTTCCCAGCCCGGGGATTCTTTACCACTGAGCCGCCAGGAAAGCCCTCAGTCATGTTTTAGATTCTAGTTTTCCCCGCTCGTGTCTGGTGAGAGAGGCCTGAGAGCTGGAGTCCTCAGCCACAGCCCCGGCTCTGCCATCCAAAGCTCTGGGGCCTTCGGGGCACGCCTGCTTCTCCTTCAGTTGTGTCTGACTCTTTGCACCCTGCAGACTGCGTAGCCCACCAGTCTCCTCTGTCCATGGGATTTCCCAGGCAAGAATACTGGAGTGGGTTGCCATTGCCTTCTCCATAATTATCTGTTAAATACTTTTAAAAATATTTTTCAGTGGAGGAATGAAAGACTAAAATTTCATGGATCTTCCTTTGTTTAAATCCAAGCTCTTGGCCACTTATTAGATGTGTAACAAATATCAAACTTTTTAACATTTCTAAACTTTAGTTTCCTCTTGGTACTGTGAAGCTCATACTGCCTAGTTTATTCTCTTGATTTTGAGGACAAAGTTAGTTTTTCCACACTTTGGGTGATCTGTACTACTATTATAATTGGCCTTGTGGGCTTGTAACCCACACTAAGAAATGCATTTTATGTCATGACTTAGTACATACACACACACACACACACACACAGGCAGACACTCACACCACATCACATCCTGATAAACTTTAATATGCATGGAATCAACTGGTGATGTTGTGGAAATGCAGATTTGAATTCAGTAGATCTAGGACAGAACTGAGAAACTGCAATTCTAACAATTTTGCAGGTGATATGGATGCCACTGGTCCATGGACCATTTTATTTAAATAAATAATTTAGTTTCATGCTTCTTTAATGAATCATAATGCACTTCGAGTTCAAAAGAATACAGATATTAGGGAAAAAACTGACTGTATACACTTTCATTTTCCTTTATGAATTGAATATCAGGAGAAAAATGCCTATAGCATCCTTTCAACATATCAGTGGAAACAGAAGCTAGTAGAGGTGTTGTTTTCAAACAGGAATTTGAGAGATTATGACATAGATGATCTGCCCAGGTTCAGTCAGTTCAGTTCAGTCGCTCAGTCATGTCTGACTGTTTGTGACCTCATGGACTGCAGCACGCCAGGCCTCCCTGTCCATCACCTACTCCTGGAGCTTACTCAATCTCATGTCCATTGGGTTGGTGATGCCATCCAACCATCTCATCCTCTGTGGTCCCCTTCTCCTCCCTTCAATCTTTCCCAGCATCAGGATCTTTTCAAATGAGTCAGTTCTCATCAGGTGGCCAAAGTGTTGGAGTTTCCGCTTCAGCATCAGTCCTTCCAATGAATATTCAGGACTTATTTCCTTTAGGATGGACTGGTTGGATCTCCTTGCAGTCCAAGGGACTCTCAGGAGTCTTCACCAACACCACAGTTCAAAAGCATCAATTCTTTGGCGCTCAGCTTTCTTTATAGCCCAGATTGCTATGAGTCATAACTATGCTTCCTCCTATCCATGACCCGTCAGGTTCTCTGGTTTATATCATCTCCCTTATATGCATGTATACAACCAAGACAGTATCAGCTAGAGACTCAGTTCAGTGGTAAATCCGTAAATCAAATACAGGCAAACAGAATATCTACTGTGTGACTAGAAGCAAGGAGAAAAGCGGATTGTAGGGAGAAACTGAGATTGTTCTACAGAGACCCTACTGGGCTTCGGCTGTTGCCAACAGTTAGCAAAGTGCTGAGCCTACAGGCTGAATATTGAAGGGCTGTGCTTTTCACAAATATGTGAAGACTCCTTATACATTTTCTCATTGCTTAACTTCCTCACACCTAACTTCTCCATCATTAAAAAATTACTTTTAAAGTCTTATTGTCCTCATACAACACATGTTGGATGTTTTAGTCCCCTTTCCAAACCTGAAATAATTTTGCCTTGCATTATATTTCAGTCTATTGTAAATTGTCTTGTGCAAAAGTAATCATTATTTTACAGCAAAGTTTAGATTCTTCACTTATTAAAGAATCACTTGTAATTATAATTTTGGCATGACTTAAAAATATACACCGAGGAAGACTGAATAGTTTTGAAGTGAAATTTAATCTTTCCTGACAGTATATCTATCAAAGAAAAAATCAATGGAAGAAAACATGTTCCTTTTATCATCTTTTGCTGAAGGCAGAGAGGGTGTTGGGGTGCACATTTAATATTTATAACTTCATTGTATATGAACCTTTAAAACAGTGCAATAAAATTCAACATATAAATATGGTACTTGAAAGTACTCAAGTTCTGTAAACACTACATTAAATTTAAATATATAAAAGTAGGATATTGAATTTTAACTCCTCTTCATGACTTAGAAATGAAGCACTACACATATATATTTAAAGCAAATGTTGCAGTTTTAAAAACATCTACGAAACTTCTGTATCAGCTTTCTGAGCAACTATGCCTAGTTGTATCTGTATTATTAGGTGATGAAGTTAGTGAAAAGCAGAGTTTAACATCTAAATTAAATCTAAACTTCCTTGCAAATTACAATAGTGTGAGGTATAAGTTTATCAAGTCAGATAAAGTAACAAAAATATTATAAAAGATACTGTATATAAACAGCAAAAACAAAAAGAAAAAATTTTTTGAAAAGAAGTAAATTAGAAAAGAGAATTTGTAGTCAGGGAACTCAGACTTGTATCCGTCTATTTTTTCTCACTAAATATGTGTTTGTATGTGTTTAGTGTAAATAATTGGAATAATAGAACTATCTACAACTGTGATGGCTATTTGGATTCCACAAGATAATATGAAGTACTTTCACAACTATAACTTGTGATATACAAATTTGTTAAAATTTTTAAATTGTCCAGTTGTATAAATTATGAATAACCTTTCAAAAATAGCTAGGTAGATGAAAATAATTTGAAGCAGTCCTATGTTAACCCGAACAGGAAGGTAATTGCATGGACATTTTAACATAATAATGAAGAAATAGTGTTCTGCACATCCAGTTTACTCCTTGCATTATATTAAACCAATCTTGTAGTTAATTACTTTTCATGTGCTTCTTGATATGCTTAAGAAATGTGTCATCATGAGCACCATTTCCCTTACATTTGTTGATTCTTTTCAAATTCATTAAGTAGAACAGTCTGCATATGATTCGTGAACATTGGCATTCCTAAAATGATGATAAAAGAAGTTTTCTTTCAACTTTTATGGAGAATTATTGTCCTTGCTTCCCCTCACCCCACAACAATTTGCTTTCAATAATAAATGCTCCAGCATGGAGTTTGTGTACTGCGCAGCACTTTGTGCTGTCGTGGGAAATAAATTTCTAAAATGCCCACCTTACATAAGCTATAGAGGCATTCTGCCCCTGGGTTTCAGTGTGAGGAGCTACTGGATACTCTTGTGAGACTTCAGTTGTTCTCTGGAGCTTCCAACTAAGGGTAGAAGCATGAAGCCAAGTTTTTAACTGAATGCTCCTTTCACCTTGCAGTAATCTTAACAGGATTTCTCTCTGGATTGCTTTTTGCAGTATTACTACTCGGTCAAGGATATTTCGGTTGGAGGGATGTGCATCTGCTACGGTCATGCCAGGGCTTGTCCACTTGATCCAGTGACAAATGTATGTATATTTTTAGGCTGCTTAGGTAAAATGAAGCTCTGAACTGTAAAATGCCTCATGAGAAGCTTTGCTGGCAGGGATGCTATAAATGGGTGTCAGGTCCCCACTTAGACGGTGTAACAGAAAACCATGCCAGGGTGAAATAGAGCTGGCAGTTAGGATGATAGACTTTGAAGGGAGCCATTACAGTATCAGAAAACAGATTAGTTTTTTCCCAAAAAGGCTCCAAACCAGTCTATCTATTTTGAAACCTCTCTAGCTATGACAGCCTGCTGTATGATTTAGCTTTAGAGAATGCCTGTCATCAATCAACCTGTTTCTTTTATGAATTTTCATCAAAAAAAATTAATGCAAACAAATGAAAAATGTACCTGGAAGTAAATATAAATGACCATGGAAGCAGAGACTGAGGTTAGACGGGGCAGTAAGAAGTAGAGTGAAAGAGAGTATTCAAGAGGGCTTGAAATCACCAGGTCAGAAAACGCTGGAATGGTTTTGGGTGCATTTTTCATTAATGACAATGTATTAAGTGAACATAACCTAAGCAAAGAAGATGAATGAGCGTCCACTTTTCTCAGGCATAAACAATCTGGTGAAATACAGAATCATCTACTTTATGTATGGAAGAACTATTTTGGATAGTGAGATCACTAGGTAAACACTTTTTCCTACTGCAACGGTAATATAAATGATATTTCTTTCAAAGCTAGTTTTCTTAGTAATGCATCATAGTATTACCTCCTAGGGAAGATTCAAATCCCTGGCATAGTTTTCTTCGCAAGGTTGTGGTCCTGCTTTCTGCAGGGTGTGGGCACTGTCTATCAGATGTACTGATGAGCAGTAGTTCCCGAGATTTGAGAACCTGCACGGCAGCCTTGGAAGGATGGTTCCATGCAGTGAAAAAGACTGTACTCAAAACCCTTGAGGACAGGAGATGCAGGCTTGGAGTATTAGATTTCTGCTCTATCCCCGCCTCTCCATGCCTCGCCGTCTACTCTCTCCCCTCTTCCTATGCTAATTGCTGATAGTTCACTTCAGTTGCTCAGTCATGCCCGACCCTTTGCAACACCATGGATTGCAGCACACCAGGCTTCCCTGTCCATCAACAACTCCCAGAGCTTGCTCAAACTCAATGTTCACTGAGTCAGTGATGCCATCCAACATTCTCATCCTCTGTCACCCCCTTCTCTTCCTGCCCCCAGTCTTTCCCAGCATCAGGGTCTTTTCCAATGAGTCAGCTCTTCAGATCAAGTGGCCAAACTATTGGAGCTTCCACTTCAGCATCAGTCCTTCCAGTGTTAATAGTACTTTGATGGAAACCTTAAAATGGATACATCCAACCCAGAAAACCTGTGGATCTCAGGAATTAGAGAAGTGATTCTAGTCTTCACGACCACTCCTGATCGGGCCTTCATTCTCTGCTCATCTGAGCCCAGTGATTCCAGTACCAGCCTGAACCTCCTTCCCAAAGCTGGTGTTGATCAAATATATTCACTCCTGCCGCTGGCCCTTCTTCTTTCCCAGACTGACAGGAGTTTTAGATTTTGGTACAGAGCCTCCATGTTTTCTCTTGTCTTCATTCTACCTTTCAGGAGAAACCCCTCATTTATGGTTCCAAAGAATGCTGAAAGTATGCTTCCCCACCCTGCCCCCTGCTTTTTCTTTTTACTAGAAATCCCGCTGTGAATGTGAGCATAACACATGTGGTGATAGCTGTGACCAGTGCTGTCCTGGATTCCATCAGAAACCTTGGAGAGCAGGCACTTTTCTGACCAAAACTGAATGTGAAGGTAAGTTCCAGACAGGCCAACACCATGTGTAAGTCTTCCTTTCCTGGGGCACAGGTGATGTAAACACATGCTGATTTCAGGTGAACTCATATGTCAAATTCATATGCATTTTATCCAAGACAGTAGCGGTAAGCTCTTTAACTCTCCTGTTTTAGAGTTTTCAAGATTTTATTTTTTTGACAAATATTTACAAAACACTCATGAATTTACCACTGTGTGAGAATTATGAGAAGTAGATAAAAGCATAATGTATACTTACTGTTATCAGGGGTGAATCTGAAGCTTATATTATAACATATATGAACTTCTGAGAGTGTTAGTCACTCAGTCATGTCCAACTCTTTTGTGACCCCATGGACTGTAGCCTGCAAGACTCCTCTGTCCATGGGATTTCCCAGGCAAGAATATTGGGGTGGGTTGCCATTTTCCTTTCCTGGTGATCTTTCTAACCCGGGGATTGAACCCAGGTCTCCTGAATTGCAGGTGGATTCTTTACTGTCTAAGCCACCAGGGAAGCCCCCATATGAACTTCTGCTGAAACTATAAATCAAAACTACCCAGAAAGCCCAATTTAACTGAATTCAAATATTGCCATTTTAGTGAATCACATTTAGTGAATCACCCAATCACATTATTTTTTCAGTTCAGGAGGTGTATATGGCCTCCAACACAGGCTTGGCTGACATTTTAAACTAATAGTAATAAACTATTACTATTTTAGTAATAGTACACACACACACACACAGAGGGAGAGAGAAATGTAAATAAAAATACAGTAAAACCTACTGGATATAGAAATTACCATTCTAAATAGGTATGTTTATAAAATGGTTCTAAAACCAGTATAGCTGCAGATTCTCTGCATGTTCCCCTTTTATATATTTCTTCCCCTAGTAAATAGCTTTTGAATACCTGTCATCTAATCAATGGAAAAAACCAAAGGGGAGAGGTCATACCCTAAAGCTTAGATTCATTTTATTATCTAGGAAGAAGGAGGCCCCTGATTCATTATTTATACTTATTAAAGGGTAGTGTTTGGGGACAGTAGTTGTGAAGAATAGTAGAGAAGGTAACTGGGAGAGGGGGAGAAATCACACATGTGGAGAAAGAATATTTGTTTTAGTAATATCCATTAATATTTTCAATGTGTGGTTTCACATTAATAGTAATATAAAATGCTAATATTAGAAATGGTATCAGAGACAATCATTGGCATAAACTGTGCTATAGTAATTATTGGACAGTGACAACCAAGAAAGAGCCAGTAATGAGAAAGCATAAAAACAACTGGCTATGTAAGCATGTGCCAAAAAGCACTCATTTATACTTTAATATTGGATGTTATCATTTCTGAAATCAACCCATATGTCCAGTTTTTCCTGAAGGGAAATACCCAAGAAACATAACAGATGACTTACATTGTCATCTGTAGCCTAGTCTTGCCAACTGTCCCATCTTGGTGACAGGGATGCTAAAGAAACCTGTGTTTCTGGAGATCTATTCAAGCCAAGATGGGATCTAAAAACAAAAAATTCTGCTGAACTGTAAATCCTAACTAGCCAGAAAGCCCGATTCAGTTGAATTCAAATATTAGTGTTTTAGCCAATCAGTCCCAATCACATTTTTTTAAAGTGTCTGTGGCCTTCAGAACAGGCTTGGCAGACATTTTAAATAATGCCAACTTTATATATGAATTGAATAAAATGTATATATTGTGTATCATGTATCAGACATGATCGGTCCTTAAAATTATTGAATTATAACAGGCTTTAATCATAAAATATTTCCTAACTATACATTATCTTTTCAGCCTAAGATTCTGCGTATACTATCAATGTCTTGAGTCTCTTCGTTTTCTGCCCTTAGCTCTTTTGCTTTTTGATTTGTGTCTGGGTGCTTGTGAAGATATTTTGGGTTAGAAATCAGTCATTGTTCTGAGAGGTACCTGGAGGAATGGGGCCCCACTACGCAGTGGTGTAAAGGGTTAAGCCTTAACAGCATTGGATGTCCAACCTTTGTTTTTTTCCCTCTATTCCCAGCTCCATTCCTGATGAGCCCTCAGGATCTCCACAACTTCTCCCAGTTGAGAGCAGACTTTCATTCCTAAGGCTGAGTTTAAGTTGAATGACACCATGACTATCTCTTCTCAAATTTCCTTAAATTTAAAAAATTTCTCTTCTGCTTGTGGAACATCAGCAGTTACAGGGGGGAGTATCATTTGAGGGTAGGGATTCCCCCTGTTGTCTCTGAGCTTCTATCACACAGTTTTCATAATGCTATGTTAAGTGGATCTGCAAAACTCTTTACCACTCTCCACTAATATGTATCTGTTTAAACAAAGAAACGGGAAGGATAGATCAAACTTATTAGCCTGTAGCCTGCTAGGTTCTTCTAACCATGGGATTTTCCAGGCAAGAATGCTGGAGTGGGTTACCATTTCCTTCTCCAGGGGATCTTCCCAGTCCAAGGATTGAACCTGTGTCTTCTTCATTGGCAGGGAAATTCTTTACCCCTGAGCCACCAGGACAGCCCAACCTCCCATCTCTCCTGCAAAGAAAGATAAAATGAATAATTTCTTTCTAATTCACTTGAAATTTGGGTTTTATCAATCTAGCTTATTTGAGGCAGGGTCTATCTATAAAGTGCAAAGGATATGTATTCCACTGCTAAACCTGTACTAACAGACAGTTTCTGTCATGTGTCATGAACATTCAATGAAATAACAAATTGCTGATGGCCGAGTGTAAAATGGTTGTTTGTGTGTAGGTACTCTCTGGGTCCTCTGAGGCTTTAGATGGAAGATGTGCAGGTCCAGGACCTTTAAACAGCAGCCAGAGCTGTGGGCAGAGGGCCCTCATATGTGGAGTGTATGCTTCTCAAGCATCAGTCTTTACCTGCCTTAACTCACAGTTATAAGTACAGTCAGTAATACAAGTTCTAAATAATGTGAGAATAAATTTGTATTCCTCTGCATTTCTCTGTAGTTACACTGGTAGCAGAAATCTTGACAGTTTCTTGCAATATACTTTTACAATAAGATTTTTAAAAATTCTTGTGTGTTGTCCTAAAGATATAAAACTGCATATCATGCCTAGTGATTTATATTTGTGATTATATACTTCCCTAGAATAAAATTTGAAAACTCTCCATTAATACAGCAACAGTGCTATATCCTAAATCAAAAGCCAACCAATTGAAGAAGCTATTTGCAACAAACTGGAGAAGGGGGAAAATATCTACTGTATTAAGAGATCCTCCATAGCAATAAGAAAACTTTTTTTAAAAACTGTTAAAAATGAGCAAAAATTGAAACAGGCATTTCTCAGGGAAAAACTATGACATAATCATATAAAGAATTTGTCACACTTTTTACGATTAAAGTATCCATTAAAACAATAAAAGTACTTTTTAAAAACTTACCAAGATGTTCTTTCATTCACTCAACATATGTTTGAATCCTTACTATGTCTAGGAGCTGAATTAAAAATGTTGATAATGCACAGTGTAGGTGAGGCTGTGGGGAATCAGTTTTAACATGTCTGTTAGAGGGAAAGTAATCTGATATAGCATTTTTAGAGAGAAAATTTTCAAGTTAGTTAAAATTAAAATTCTAGCCCCTGACTAGAAATTGCGCTTGCAGGAATTTAATCTGTAGATGTACTCGGATTCTCTATAGAACTTCTTATAATCCTTGTCGCTAGCTGTTTAGTCACTAAGTGGTGTCCTCCTCTTTTGTGACCTGTTACTGATATTTATGGGGTTTCCAGGTGACACTAGTGGTCACGAATCCATCTGCCAATGAAGGGGCCATTAAGAGACGCAGGTTCACTCTCTGGGTCGGGGAGATCCCCTGGAGGAGGACACGGCAACCCACTCCAGTATTCTTGCCTGAAGAATCCCATGGACAGAGGAGCCTGGCGGGCTACGGTCCATAGGGTCACAAAGAGTTGGACATGAATGAAAAGAGGATACCCAAATCTAAGACTGGCACAAAATAGCATGATCTCATCACTGAACAAATCAGCTCTCCTCTTGTCCTGATTATTTTGCACTAATTGGACATCTTTTTTCTCTTATTAGATAACTTTTGAAGGGATTGTGGTAGAGATTGACCCTAAGACTCTGCAGCCTAACTTCAGAGTCTGGCTTACAATTCTGATTTGGTGACTTTTTACAAGTGATGGGTTAGTTGGTAAGTTGTATCCAACTCTTGCGACCCCATGGACTGTAGCCTGCCAGGCCTCTCTGTCCATGGGATTTTCCAGGCAAGAATCCTGGAGAGGGTTGCCATTTCCTTCTCCAGGGATCTTCCCGACATAGGGATTAAACCCGGGTCTGCTGCATTGCAGGCAGATTCTTTACTGACTGTACTATATCTAAGCCTGCTTCACAAGTTATAGGTGGGTTTTTTTTTTTTGTTTGTTTGTTTGTTTTTTTGCTAAATGCAGACAACAAAGCTGCAGTTCTGCACAATCTTTAGTTGGTCAAACTGGGGGATGAGAAGCCAAGGACAGGAAGGGCTGACTGCAAAGTTACACTCCAGTTTTGAATTGTGCAAAGGGTTGACACCCTTAATCCCTGTGATATTCAAAGATCAAATGTATATACACTAAACATCCTTCTTTACCCATAGGGTCTAATACAGAGATTCACATCTAGTAATTATTCATCACAGATTACACAAATGTTAATTATTCAGTGTCATACTTCAATAATAATGTTTGTTGTAATAGGAAGCTATAGGTTGAATTATATGAAATATCAGTTTTGTAAGATAAAATCAGTCAAATATTGGCAATTTCATACTATTCAGTTTAAATTATTTACGTTCCATTAATATATATTTATTAATTTGTCTAATAGATTCATGTACTTTCTAGGCATATTTGTATTGGCTTTGTATATATATACATATCATATAATATAATTTGCTGTATGGTATACAAATCTCTTATGTAACAAAAATTATTTTTATATATATCTGAAATCTGAAAGTGTATGAATTTCTTTTTCCCTAATGCAGCCTGCAATTGTCATGGGAAAGCTGAAGAATGCTATTATGATGAGAATGTTGCCAGAAGAAATCTGAGTTTAAATATACATGGAAAGTACATTGGAGGGGGTGTGTGCATTAATTGTACTCGAAACACTGCTGGCATAAACTGTGAGACATGCATTGATGGTTTCTTCAGACCCAAAGGGGTAAAGTATGCTTTTTCTTTCGTGAAGTATTATTTTGGATTTTTCAGACTGAGATGTATTACAGGGAAAAGTAATTTTGATTGCTTCTTTAAATAGTTGGACTTCAAATTTCAAAGGTGACTAGAAATATTTCATAATAGCAGCTGATATAAATCATTGAGGATGTGATATAAAATATTACCATCCCTCCACAAAGTCTCATGGTGACTCATTCCAGTCAATCCTTACCTCTAAGCAAACTTTGTTCTGATTTTTAAAGCATAAATTAGTTTGCCTCTTAGTGAATTTTCTAAGACTGAAATCGTAAGTTCACAAAATTTTTGGTCTTCCTTTCACTCAATGTAACAGGTTTAGATTTACCCATGTTGTACACACTGATAGTTATTTCTTTTTTTAAAAATTCTAAGGAGTACCCCTCTGCATGAATGTATCTTACTTTTTAATCCATTCTCCTATATATTTGGGTCATTTCCAGGTTTTGGTTAGTTCCTTCAAATGAATGTTATATGAGTCTTTTTGTGGTCATGTGTTATTAACCTTGTGTGTGTCTAGGAGTATAGTAGTTTTTTCATAGAATTAGATTTATGTTTGACTTTATAAGATACTGCTAATGTTTCATCAAGTTAATGATACTGTTTTGCATGTTCACCAAAAATATATGTGAGTTCTACTTCTTCCATCTCTCTCTAACGTTTGGTCTTAACTGTCTTTTTGAAGTAATCATCCTAGTGGATGTGGGTGTAATGAGTCTGGCAAGTCGGTACTAGGCAATCACTAAGTCAGTCCGATCAATGCTGAGTGCTACAGCACATCTTCTATTATGAATTTACAGCAGTTTTTTTGTACTAAATTTCTTTCAAGTGCCTGCTGGCTATCCTTGTATCCTCTATGGTGAAGTGTTTCTTCAAAATTTTTCTTTTTGATTCTAGAAAAGTCGTAATTTTAAGTTTTAGGGCTGTAGCCCATCTCAAGTAAATCTTTGTGTGGAGTGTGAAGTCATGATTGAGATCTACATGTTTCACCTGTTGTTCCAGCACCATGTTTTGAAAAATACTTTTTTTCTCTTTCAAATTGTTTTGAGCCATTTTTTTGAGAATAAATTGATCATTTGGGTTAATATCTGGAGCCCCAGTTCTGTTCCGTGGATTTATTTTTCCATCCTTGTGCTCACAGCATACTATCTTCATGACTAGCTGGTTCCCATGACTTCAGAAACACATTATGTACATCCTTTTAATTTATTTGAAATAATTTTTAAATCTCCATTTTTATTTGTTCTCTGTTGTTTAGTTTCTAAGTATTTGGGCTTTATTAAGTAAGTCTGGTGTTAGTCACTCAGTTGTGTCCAACTCTTTGCAAGCCCATGGACTATATCCCTCTAGGCTCCTCTGTCCATGAAATTCTCCAGGCAAGCATACTGGAGTGGGTTGCCATTCGCTTCTCCAGGGGATCTTCCCCACCCAGGGATCAAAGCCAGGTCTCTTGCATTGCAGGCAGATTCTTTACCATCCCAGCCACCAGGAAAGTCCCATGTACTAATATTACTTATTATTAAAATGGAAAATTTATATTTTGTTTTCATTTTTATAGATATAATCACTAAGAAACACAGTGCAGCTAAATAAGTAGACAGAACTGGGAGGGAATTTGTTATAGCCGTGTACTCAATGTATTATGGTCTTTTTTGGATTTCATTTATTCTTATGAGAAGGCAGCCATCATTTGTATTTTTGTTCTTCTGTATGTAAGGTGTCTATCTTCTCTAACTGATTGCAAGATATACTCTTTATATTTATCTTTTAGCAACCAAACCATGTATTGGCTATGGCCCCTAGATAAAATTTGACCCATGGCCTGTACTTGTATGGCCTGCAAACAAACAAAAAAATTTTTTTTCTTTATATTTGTAAAAACTTATTTTAAAAAGAGGGGGAGGAGGAAACGAAGGGAAAGGGAAAGGAGATGGGGCGAGAAGAAAAAGAACAACCCAATTAAGAAAAAGAGCAAGAATAAGATGGGACAAAAGCTAGGAGGAGAGGAGGAGGTGAGGAAGGCAAGAAAAAGAAGAAACAGACCTTAGATGACTTACAAAACCTGCAATGTTACTATCTAATTTTACAGAAAAAATTTTCCAATCTTGGTTGGACCATGTTTGTCTAAATGTGGCTTTCTTTGTACATATATTCTTGGTTACTAAACTTCTTATAATTATAAATTGAGATTGCTGCATTTTGGAAATTTTAGGCCATTATTTCTTTACATATTTTTTTTTAACTGTGCATTCATCCTTTTATGACTCCAGCTACATGCAGGCCAAGTTGCTGGATTGTGCCTCTAGGTTACTGAGGCCGTGATAATGTTTTTTTTTTTTTTCTTTCTTTGTGCTTCAGATTGGATAATTTCTATTTATCTGTAATTAGCTATACTACTTTTCTGCATGCCATCAGTTATCTGTTGCTAAGCATATGCAGTTAATTTTTCAACTATAGAGTGTTTATGTTTTTTTATAGTTTCCTCCACTCTGCTGGAAAAAATCCATGTATTCACTCTTTATAAACCTTATTACCTTTGCACTCTCTTCAGCCTATCTAGAGACCTATACAAGTCATTGTCTATTAATACTTGGGGCACCTCACTGTTTTTGTTGACCTGTTTTTTTCTTGAACAAGTACCATGCCTTAGTTTTTCTCCTCATGTCTAGTAATTCATGATTAACACAGGAAATTTTGGTTGATACATTGTAGTGACAAAAGATTCTGTTATCTTCTTCTGAAGATTTTTGGATTTTGTTTCAATTTGTAGTTAGCTTACTGACTAATCACTATGAAACTGGAGGCTTGCTTTTATACTTCTCTAGAGCAGATTAATAGAAAACTAAAGGTATGTATCTAACCTTACTTGGTTGATAAACAAATTTCTATTTAGGCCATATCATGTGAACTAGAAAGTCTATTGAGTTCATTCAGCTTTCCTGCTGTTGCTTTCCAGTGGGCCCCTTGGAGTCCCCAGAATTAATGTGCAATTAAGGAATCAGTTAAAAATGGAGGGATATATATATATATATGTAGATTTTGTTGTTACCCTTATATGAACATGAATCTCATCTAATGTGTTTTTTCTTTCAAATCTCAAATCCTTCTAATTTCTGCATGCTTTTGATTATTCTCCCAAGCCCTCAAATATTTGATTTTTTATATTTCCAGAATTCATCATTGTCATTTTTGGATGTGTTGGACCCATTAAAGACACTCTGCCATTTTTAAAACTGGAAGCTTGATCAAGTTTTTAATACAACTTATTAAATGAATCTGAATCTAGAATTTTATATTTTAGCACATAAAAATATGTATGCTATATTTTGTGCTAAAAATTCAAGTATTTCAAGTGTTTAGTATTTGGGTGAAAATTCCTTATGTTTTTATGAAGATATAGAAATAAAATTTTTGTAGACTGTGAATTTTATATCTTAAAAATATATATCTGCATTATTAAAAATTATTGCCCTAAAATCTAATTTTAGATATATATACTAAGTACATATATTTAAAAATTAAAATATATATGTATGGCCATGTTTACTTTGAGAATTAATTAGTAATCTTATTTTAGTAAAATTAAAAGTAAAGTGTAAAGTAGATATATTTATAGGATATCTTATGTTAGAAGGTTTCCTTTGTATCATTTCTTTTTGGATCCCACATATAAAGGATGTCATCAATGTTTCTGATTCCTCTGTCTGACTCCCTTCACTCAATATGACTCTCTAGGTCCATCCATGTTGCTGTGAATGGCATTATTTCAATCTTTTTAATGATTGAGTAATATTCCACTGTATATATGTACCACATTTTCTTTATCCATTCCTCTGTTGATGGAAATTTAGGTTGCTTCCATGTCTTGGCTCTTGTTAGCAGTCCTGCAATAAACATTCGGGTGCATGTATCCTTTCGGATCATGTTTTTCTCTGGATGTATGCCCAGGAGTGGGATTTCAGGGTCATATGGTAGCTCTAATTTTAGTTTTTTAAGGAACCTCCGTACTGTTCTCCATAGTGGCTGTGCCAATTTACATTCCCACCAACAGTGTAGGAGGGTTTGCTGGAAGTTCTCCTGATCAGCAATCTGATTCAAGCAGATTTTCCCAATTACTGTAAGGAAGGATAATAAATTAAGAGGCTTTGGTTTACTCAAGCTCATCATTGTAATCATAAATTATATTCATGAAAGCTAAGAATTTATCCTAAAGAAATTTATTGCTATATATCCCCAAAGAGGTGTTTTTTTGTTTTTGTTTTTTCTGGTGTTGCAGTTTTCTCTTGGTTAGACAGTCCTCCCAATTCTGCCCTCAAATTGCTACTCAGGTCAAGCTCAAGTCTAAATGTCACTTTTTCTGTGAAACGTTGCTTGTCTTCATTGTGTTCATACTCCCTCCTCTTTTGCTCCAGAACTCTCTTCTCTGTCTATCTTATCACTTGGCACATTCTATTTAATCAATATCTTTCAAGTCTGCTTTTCCAGTAAGCTTCTTTAATGCAGAAAGCAGGCCTTACCTATCTGGGCTTTGGACGATCCTTTCTTCACAATAGAAAGTAAATGAATGAGTATTAAATAATGATTTTGAAACTGATCTATGGACTTAGAAGATTGAGTTCTATCAGATGTGTAAATATTTTTCTGCTTATGACACTTTGACTTATTAACAATCAAGTTTTCATTATAAATTAAATCTGGATATACATATATATATGTAAACTATGTTTGGGGACTTCCCTGGTTGTTCAGTGGTTAAGACTTTGCCTTGCAGGGGTTGCAAGTTCAATCCCTGATCAGGGAGCTAGGATTCCACATGGCTTCTGGCCAAAAAAGCAAAGCATGAAACAGAAGTAATACTATAACAAATTTTAAAAAGACTTTAAAGATGGTCCACATCAAAAAATAAAAAGCAATATTTTATGGGAAATCGATTATATACATAATTATATGTATATTCAGCAGTATTTTAGTATTTCTGAGGCAAAGAATTTAGTTGCTTTTTTATTCTTATCCTATTGCATCTAGAAAATATATCTTTTATATATGGTATATTGGCACAGTCTAGGTTTGTTTAATTAAAATATTCTAACGTTAAAAGCTACTTGTTGTATTGAGTATTTGATATATGTGAGAAATCATATGAGATGGCTGTTACTCCTCTTAATGTTAATTGAACATCATCACTATGATTGCTATTACTAATCTCATATTACCAGAAGGTAAAGTGCAGGAGATTGCATAGTCAGTAAGTGGCCACAGTGGAATATGAGCTTAAGGCTTCCTGATTATAGAACCTACATTCCTCTCCCCAGATTATGCTCCCTCCTGAGAAAATCAAAATTTTAATGTAAATATTTAAGTACATGTTCTCAAGCACCAAATTTAATTAGTTGTATTATGATCAGTGTGAAAAAGGTTTTGAAAAATAAAAATTTGGGGGAAAATTACTAATTTTCAACTACACTGCAATAAAACAAAGCAGTAAGGAAGATTTTATCATGGAATGTGTATTTCTCTTACATTTTCTATATAAGCAAACATTGCTATTTTGTTTCTTATGATGATAATTGTGACTATAAAAGAAAGAGGTACATTCTAAAATATGTAGATATTAAAAGACTATTTGGAATTTTCTTTAAAAACTTCAGCAAAGAATAAAGCATGGTGAAAGTTATATGGTGAAATTCTGGTAATCAGTGAATCTAGGTAACAGTTACATAGGAGTTTATTATATTATTCTCTTTACTTCTGTATGTCTACCTAGGAGAAATGGATTCTGGCAATTTTGAAAATATAGCAAAGAAATTTTCTTATGGATTATTTTCCAATATAGTTTCTTATTGCATATCATTAAGTTGTGAAAATAGAGTAAAGAATTTTCTTATATTATCATTTTCTCAATATAATATCTTACTATATATCGTTAAAATGATCTCTAAGGCTTACTGGATCAAAAAATATTGGTTTTTTTATTACAGTTGACCTAAAGCAATTTAATATTTTTGTTAGGTATCTCCAAATTATCCAAGACCATGCCAGCCATGCCACTGTGATCCAGTTGGTTCCTTAAATGAAGTCTGTGTTAAGGATGAAAAACAAGCTCGACGAGGTGAGAATTTGGTAGAGCGCCATTGTTCTGATTAAAAGTTAAAGTGTTTGTTGCTCAGTCATATCCAATTCTTACATCTCAATAATTACGTTTATGTTTATACTTTAAAAGCAAGAAGAGTTGAATTGTTTTACATTACTTATACATGTATATGCATATATATTTGCATGTCTATGTTTGTATATATACATACACCTTCTAGTCAACTATAGATCTCTGGTGTATGCACCTTTTGATGTTTTGTTATTTATTAGATTACTTTGTAGCTGGTATGGTTTTTGGGGTGAAATGATAGTGCTCCTTGAGGGATGTGTGTACTACAAAGGAAGAGCAATAGATGAGATCACAGACTGAGGTGCAGTTAATAATACAGAAAGCAAGAAGTGTGCATAAAGGACTATTAAAGGCATTTCAGTTCAGTCGCTTAGTCGTGTCTGACTCTTTGTGACCCCATGAATCGCAGCACGCCAGGCCTCCCTGTCCATCACCAACTCCCGGAGTCCATCGAAACCCATGTCTATCGAGTTAGTGATGTCATACAACCACCTTATCCTCTGTCATCCCCTTCTCCTCCCGCCTTCAATCTTTCCCAGCATCAGGGTCTTTTCAAATGAGTCAACCCTTCACATCAGGTGGCCAAAGTATTGGAGTTTCAGCTTCAACATCAGTCCTTCCAATGAACACCCAGGACTGATCTCCTCTAGGATGGAAAAGGCAGTAGGAATGAGTTAATGAAGGAAAAGAGGCTGACATTAATTTAAGCTAATACCTGCTTTGAGGATTGATATTCATGGTGAACTCCAAACGTTAAGGAATCAAATGCCAAAATAACTTCTGGATGTAAAAATGTTTACAAGCTACTTCCAGGAAAGTTGCTTGCCAAGGTTAAGTAGAAAATTCATAGAATATATCTGGAACTGTTTCTTTATATTTCCAAGACTGGATTCTTCTCTCCTGTGCAAAGACTAAAATAAATCATGGTTATGATATAGGCTTTTCCCCCAAAGACTTTTGAGTTAAAAGGCTGGCAACATTTCTTTGGCAGTTTAACTTACCTGCTTTCTTTACAAAGCTATATGATTATGTATTTAGGCCTTAGAGTCTTAAATCTTAAAAGATTAAAAAATGATTATTTAAAAACTCTAATGGTGAATTATTGGTATCATTTTTGATTTTATGGTTCCTTATCTTGTTATCATAATAACTAAATCACAATTATGGTAATTTAATTTTATTCCCTGAGTTTAAACAGTAAGTATTTTGCTGTTGAAAAAGTGATTTTAAAAAAGTAGAAAAGTAGAAAAATGGGTATTCAATACAGTGGTAACTCAAATACTATTATTAACATATGTGTGTTAACTTTAGATGGTGACTTTTTCCCCACATCTGTTCATATTTCTCTGAAATCTGGTTTTAGCTCTTAACTCTGAAAGATATTGTTTCCAAATTTTGTATATTTTAACCAATCTGTAATGAAGATCTTTGTATACATGATATTTTTCAATTATTTTTTCCCTCTGAGATCTAAATTCTTTTTTTTTCATATTGAGGTATAGTTGATGTACAATATTATATATGTTACAGTTGTACAATACAGTGATTTTTTCAGTTACAAGGAAAACAAACAACTAAAATTTTAACAGTACGAATGGAATAAAATAGATAGCAAATACTGTCCTCTTTAACCTATTCAACCCTAGTCTCATTTCCAAATGTCATCACAATTTAAAATTTTTTATATATATACTATTATTAACATTTGTGTGTTAACTTTAGATGGTGACTTTTTCCCCACATCTGTTCATATTTCTCTGAAATCTGGTTTTAGCTCTTAACTCTGAAAGATATTGTTTCCAAATTTTGTATATTTTAACCAATCTGTAATGAAGATCTTTGTATACATGATATTTTTCAATTATTTTTTCCCTCTGAGATCTAAATTCTTTTTTTTTCATATTGAGGTATAGTTGATGTACAATATTATATATGTTACAGTTGTACAATACAGTGATTTTTTCAGTTACAAGGAAAACAAACAACTAAAATTTTAACAGTACGAATGGAATAAAATAGATAGCAAATACTGTCCTCTTTAACCTATTCAACCCTAGTCTCATTTCCAAATGTCATCACAATTTAAAATTTTTTATATATTAACGTACCAAAATTCAGAAAACTCACTTTAGCTGTAATAATGACATTATGTTAAAATCATTATACATAATAATTTTTGTATTGGATTTCTTATGTGCCTTTATAATCTTCAAATTCTTATCTACTCCAAGATAAGCAAATTATTTATTTCTTTAGCTCTTATTTCTTTCTATTCTTCTTTTATTGCAATGTAATTGACATACAGCACTGTGTAAGCTTGGGCTTCCTTTGTGGCTCAGCTGGTAAAGAATCCACCTGCAAGGGGAGACCTGGGTTTCATCCCTGGATTGGGAAGTTCCCCTGGAAAGGGAAAAGCTACCCACTCCAGTATTCTGGCCTGGAGAATTCCATGGACTGTATAGTCCATGGGGTCACAAAGAGTTGGACACAACTGAGTGACTTTCACTTTCACTGTTTAAGTTTAAAGTATTCAACATGATGATTTGACTTTCATGCTTCATGAAATTATTACCGCAATAAGTTTAGTGAACATCTATCATCTCAAGGATTACTTGAACAGAAGCACTGCAATACCTTGACAGTCAATCTGAGAAACAAGATGGCTTTGTAAGTGATCAGTGGGATGGGATCTACTGGAAAAAAAAATGACTCATATCCTGGTAGGACAGAGTGGGATGATGCAAGATTTCATCACTTACTCAGGATGCAAAAATAATGAATTGTTTATTTCTGGAATTTTCCATTTGATATTTTTCAACTGTGGTTGACCACAGGTTAACTGAAACTGTGAAAAGTGAAACCACAGATAAGAGAGGAAAGATGTATGTTTATTTTATAATTTGTATATTTTAGTAGTACTCTCTGCTATCTATTTGACTCTGCAGTTTGATTTTTTTTGGTAAGTGTTTATCTGGGCCTTGTTTTCTTGTGTTTTTCCTAACTGGGGGTGTCTGTGTGTGCATGCACATACATGTGTATTTCCTAGTTTACCCTTTCAGGAGTCCTCAGTTTATATGTAAAGTTCTCTGATATGTCATCCTACCTTGAATAGTACCTAGAATTTGTCTTTTGTTCAATAAGACCATGCTCCACACTCTAGACTAGTTAATCACAATTAATTGACTTTAGGAAAGACACTGGTTTAAGAAATGGCTTACTACTCTAGAAAATAATTATAGTTTCTGATCTCCAAGGGATTTCTCTGCTTCATAACAGCACAGTCATTTTATATATCTCTCTCTCTGCCAATTTCAGCCCTCACAGTCAAGCGTTCTGAACAAGACATTTAGTTTGTAGTACTTTCAGAAACAAATATTGAAATAGACATTTTTTATTGCATAGAGTATTTCTCTGTTTAGTCTTGAGGTCTGGAGATTTTAATATCAGAAATAAATATGAATCGAGTGGAGTGTTTCTGTGGCCTTTATTAAAGTGGACATATTTCTTTTTCATTTTACTTCTACATATGATTAAGAAAATAAATTCATTATTGTTCAACAATGCAGACGTAGCTCAGAGATATTACAAGTTCAGTTCCAGACCACTGTAATAAAGCAAGTTCCACTAATTTTTGGTTACCCAGTGCATATTAAAGTTATGTTTACATTATATTGTAATCTACTAAGTGTGTAATAGCATTATGTCTGAAAATACAATGCCTTAATTCAAAAAGACTTTCTTGCTAAAAAATGCTAACCATTATCTGATCCTGTAGTGAGTTGCAATTTTTTTGCTGATGGACGATCTTGCCTTTAGGTCAATGGCTACAGGGTGGTGGTTGCTGAAGGTTGGGATGGCTGGGTCAATTTCTTAGTCTAACTAAACAATGATGTTTGCTACATTGACTTTTCCTTTCATAAACAATTTCTCTGTAGCATGTAATGCTGTTTGGTAATATTTTATCCACAANATTTGGGTGGGGGTGGGGGGAAATGCTGCTTTTCTGTAAGAAAAGATTACAACTTGTTTGTCTTCGTTTTACGCTAGAGGTCCCAGCCGCTTCTCAGCCACACCAGCGGCGCCCATGGTTCTGTTTGCGCTTGGCACCTTCCAGGGCCCTGGAGTGATCGGTGTTTTCTTAGCGGGAGAGCCACTTTCAGGTTTGAACCCTCCGCGCTCTCTGTTTCTGTCAGCCGCCTCAAGCTCTTTTCTCTTGTGATCTTCCGTTTTGCTTAAAACCATTCTTTCGTCAGGTTCCTGCTTTAGCTTCTTCTCTGATATTCTGACATTTTCTCCTGTTTTATCTTTACTAGAACTCATCTGTCCAGAGGTTGCTTTTTTGCCTTTTTCATTTTCTGGTATTGCCCTACTAGTAATGTTGTTAGTCTTTTTGGATGGAAGAGACCTTTCATCCACTCGCTTGCTTTTTTTCTCTGGAGACCTGGTTCTGTTTTTTCCAGGCTGACTCTGATTTGTATCTCCCCCCAAAACACCTGATCTTTCTTTGGCATCTGAGATGTGCTCAGCGTTGTTGCTAGCATGGCCCCCTGCTCTTCGACTCGCATTAGACTGGTCTTTGCTGCCTTCGGTCTTTGGCTGCTTCTTCGGGCTTGAAGACCGTCCCCTGCTTTTTCCACAGTGATCCTGTCCAGAAGCTGTCCCGGTGCCGAGCTGACTGCTTTTATTCTCGCCTTTCCTGGGGCTGAGTGAGCGATCTCTGGGTCTTCTTTTGGGGTCATTTTTTAGAGGACTGGGAATCTTTTCTGCATGTTCTTCCGGATATTGACTGGCTGACTTCTTGGGACTAGCAGACCTGCCTCTTGGTGTGATGCCATTTTCTGCTTTCAAGAGATTTTTCTTATCACCATGCCCATGACTGTTGGGTGAATCTCTTTTATTCACATTTTTATGGAGAAGAGACTTATGTTTTATATCAGACTGATTTTCATTTAAAGTGCTTTTCTTTTCAGGCACAGTGTCCTTTAATTCTTCTGCCTTTTCACATATCTGAACTCTCATCAGTGATTCTTCAGTTACTGGCACATGAGACTCTTCAAATATGGAAGCAGAGTGTGAAGATGGGTGACATGGTGACTGTTCATCATAAATCACATTGGAAGATGTAGGGTTATTAATATCCCAATCACCTAAAAAAGTGATTTTGAGTAGAACATTATTAAATTTTAGAATTATAAATAGGAACAATTAAGTTTTGAACTTTGATAGCCATTTGAATTTTACTGACTGCTTCAACAGACTGAGTATTTTATAAAGTTCATGTATATTTATATCTCTCTCTATAAAGGCAGATGTATACAGACAACTGTACTTGTACATGAGTGAAAGGTAGGTTGTTTCATATATATATATATATATATAAATAATAGGACTTGAAAATCAGAATTGCTTTTTGATCCGTGGGCTGCAGAATAGATGTGTTAACAGGCTTGGAAACAATGTGAATCTCACTGTACATCTCCATTGGAGCTCTTGGATGACCAGGTTCATCATCAAAATGTTCAGTAATATTTTGAAACTTTTTTTTTTTCTGAGCAGTAGATCTCAACCCTGGGCTTAAAATATTCAGCAAACTGTGTTTTAAAGAGATGTACTATCATCCAGGCAGAGTTGATTTAGTAGAGGGCCCTGGGATTTCTGGAATGGTAAATGAGTCTCGGCTTCAACTTCAGGTCATCAGCTGCATTAACTCCTAGTATGAGAGTCAGCCTGTCCTTTGAAGATCTGAAGCCAGGCCTCAACCTCCCCTCTCTAGCTATGAAACTCCTACATGTCATGTTTTCCCAACAGAAGCCTGTTAAATCTACATTGAAAATCTGTTGTTGAGTGTCCTCACCTTCATCTTAGTTACATCTTCTGGATAACTTGCTTCAGCTTGCATCTGATCTGCATCAGCTTGCATCTGATCTGCATCAGCATTTGTTACCTCATCTGGCACATTTATGTTACAGAAATGCCTTTTTTCCTTAAGCCTCGTGAACCAATCTCTGCTAGCTTCAGACTTTTCTCGTGCGACTTACTCATTCCTCTCAACCTTTATAGAACTGAAGAGAGTTAGGGCTACCTCGGGATTAGGTTTTGACTTAAGTAAATATTGAGACTGGTTTGCTCTTCTATCCAGACCAATAAAACTTTCTCCATATCAGCCATAAGGCTGTTTCACTTTAGTAACATTTATGTGTTCACTGGAGGAGCACTTCTAATTTCCTTCAAGAAATTTTCCTTTGCATTCACAACTTGGCTAACTGTTTGGTTAAAGAAGACTAGCTTTAGGCCTTATTTCAGCTTTCAAAGTTCCTTTCTCTCTCAATTTAATTACTTCTAGCTTTTGATTTAAAGGGCTTCCCTAGTGGCTCCATGGTAAAGAATCCATGTACAGAAGACCTGAGTTTGATCCCTGGGTTGGGAAGATCCCCTGGAGTAGAAAATGGCAACTCACTGCAGTATACTTGCCTGAGCTATAGTTTGTGGGGTTGGAAAAGAGTTGGCCATGTTTATTTTGGGTTATCTCTGTTAGATTTTGATGTTATATATTCATGAGCTAATAAACTGAATTACATACCTGTCTTTTTTTTATATGTTCCATATGAGTTTCAAACATTGAGAATACAGTAAAAACTAACCAGTCCTGAAATATTTTGTGGGAATTCTTTCATCATTTGCTTTCCTTTGATATCCTTAATTAGCTTTGTCCAAGGTTCCTTTTTATTTGCTTCCCTTTCTTTTTTTTTTTAATGTTTCAAATATCCCTTGCTTCCTATGGTATTTATTTTGTTTTACATTTTTTATAATTACATGAATTAAGTTTTAATTTGTTTATATTTTTTAATAATGAAAGTATTTAAGCCTAAAAGTTTGGCTTCAATTTTTCTACATCCAATTGAATATAGTTCTCTGTGCTATACAATAGGACCTTGTTGTTTATCTATTCTCTATATACATAGTTTGTATCTGCTAATTCCAAACTCCCAATTCATCCTTCCCACAATCCTCTCTTATTTGGCAGTCACAAATCCATTCTCTGTGTCTGTGAGTCTATTTCTGCTTGGTAGATAAGTTCATTTGTGTCATATTTTAGAACCTACATGTAAGTGATACCATATGCTGTCTGTCTCTTTCTGACTTATTACTTTACTTAGTATTATAATCTCTAGGTCCATCCATGTTGGTGCAAATGGCATTATTTCATTCCTTGTTATGGCTGAGTATTATTCCATTGTATATATGTACCATATCTTCTTTATCCATTCATTTGTTGATGGACATTTAGTTTGAATACCCTTAGTCTTTTTCTTTCTTTACTTAGATGATTGACATTAGGTTTTTATTTTAAAGTAGTATATTTTTACCCCCAAGCCACTTTTCCATCTTGTGATAGTCTCAGAAGGTTTATGAATTAATTTGAAGATACTGATATGTGTTTCACCTTTTTTTAGGCCTGGCACCTGGGTCCTGTCATTGTAAGCCTGGCTTCAGAGGAGTGAGCTGCGATCGTTGTGCCAGAGGTTACGCTGGCTACCCAGCCTGCAAGCCCTGCAACTGCAGTGGGGCCGGGAGCACAAATGAGGACCCCTGTTTTGGACCCTGTAACTGCAAGGTACCTTGTTTACTCAAATAATGTCCCACTGTTTAGAGCAAAGGTTATTTTCCTTAGTTCCTCTGTTATGTTTGTACACATCAAGCAATTGGAGCTTCTGTAAATATCCAGTCTCTGTTCCATGGCAGCACTCCTATAAGTGTCTTTAGAATCAGGTTTGATTCAGCAAGACACATGCCTCTTGTCTAAAAACTTACAAATACAGAAGAGAAGTCATCTTAAGTATGTGTTACTTTAACAGAAACACATTTGCCCCCTTATCTATCTAGTGTGTTAATTTTAAAATATACAACACTAAAGCTAGCAACCCTTTAAAACTACTATACACTCAAATCTACTTTAGCTTCATGTCTTATCTAATTCTGAAAAGAATTCTCTCAAAGATTTTGTTCTAGATTTTTAAATAATCTTCTGAAGTTTGAACCCAGACAGGTCTGAAAATACCATGTTCAAAATCGTCTATTTAATTACCAAAAAATGTGAGACACCCTAGTGGATCTGATTACATGCTCAGTAATTCCTCACAAGAGTACTTTCAGAAGTGCAACTTTGTTTATTGTACACACTCAGAGAATAGGACATCATGCTATCACCAAGGGACCCACTTGCAGCTTACACATAGAGGAAACATAGAAGCAGGTACAAATTTGAAGTTATAAAACTGGTTTGCATGCATGCATCGCTTCAGTTGTGTCTGACTCTGTGCGACCCCATGGACAGCAGCCCACAGGCTCCCCTGTCCACGGGATTCTCCAGGCAAGAATACTGGAGTGGGTTGCCATTTCCTTCTCTATAAAACTGGTTTACTTTATAGTAATCAGTTCCAAAACATTCAGATCAGGCAATGTTAGCTATATTAGCTGATAGAATAAACACTCCATTGAAAAAGTTAGAATCCCATACAAATATAAAAATAAATATTACTTTTTTAAAGAAAAAGCATAGATGAAACTTTATTAAGAATATTTCCTTCATTAATTCATTAGCCTTATCTGCTGCTGCTGCTTAGTCACTTCACTTGTGTCTGATTCTTTGTGACCCCATAGACTCTAGCCCGCCCGGCTCCTCTGTCCATGGGGATTCTCCAGACAGGAATACTGTGAGTGGGTTGCCATGCCCTCCTCCAGGCTCCAGGGGAATCTTCCCATTCCAGGGATCAAACCCAGGTCTTTTGCATTGCAGGTGGATTCTTCACCATCTGAACCTCTAGTGAAGCAGTCTTATCTAGACAATTATAAACTATATACTTATAGTTTGTGTCTACGTGTGCATATATATACAAACATTAAACCATAAAATAAGTAAACATTAATATCCATGTTGAGAATACATTTGTTGGGACAAGAAGCTAAATATTGTAATAGTTATATAATTAAATATATGTTATATCCAGGGCTATTTAGATACCTATCTTGGAACACTGAAACAATAAAACTGCTGTCTACATAAACATGCAGAAAGTCTACAGTCAACGGTAAAGAGTTGCCATGTGTTGAAAAATAGTAAATTAACTACATCTAGTACCTTTTAGTCTAATATTATCTAAGATGAAGACTTACTTGTAGATCAATACCAGAGTGGTCTGTGAGTGATCACTTGCTAACAGACACCACCTGTCTTGTGGTGTATATCTTTTGGAGTAATCCTAGAAGCATCTCTAATATTTATTAAATATAGTTCCTGTATGTGCTTTATTCCTTTCCCGAAACTCCATAGAAATCTCTTAGCTTTATCACTTGCTCAAGTAAAGGACAGGCACAGCTGAGCTTAAAATGGAAGAGAAACCTTCTGAGTCTCTAGAGTATAGGAAGTAAAACTGGAAAAAAAGGGAATGTTGTCATACACATATTATTTGTAGAGGGAAGATGCCTGGTATTTGCAAAGAAAGAGTAAAGGCTGAAGGAGGCAGGCCCCATTCATTTTCTTTGATACATATATCAGAAAGGCTAGAACAGGAGAGTTGTCATCATTAGCAGAGCTCCAAGGGAGAATTGCTCAAGCTGCTGGCTGGTCTCTTCCTGCCTCAGAGGGTGATTCCAATCCTAATAAGAAAAATGCCTCTAACAAAGTCACTTGAAGCTCTACATAGACCATTAGAACACAACAATAAATAGTAATTAAGAAATAAAAGAGAATGAAAAACTAAGTAGCATCATTAAAAGAGTTCTCTTCAACTATGTGATCTTTTAAATAGATGACTATAAGCTCTTATAAACTAGAATGCTTTATAGGATAAAAACTTGCAGAAAGCAAATCTCATTAGATATCTAAATAATTTTAGAAGTGTTGAATTTTATGCATGTTTCACAAAAACATCATTGAACATAGGATTGTCAGCTGATTACTCAAAACAACATGGATCAGAATGCTGTTTAAGAATCCAACAACATATTAAAAAAGTCATACACCATGACCAAGTGGGCTTTATCCCAGGAAT